AGGGGAAGAGAGAAATCACCAGGCGGACATGGGAGAAAGCTGCTTCTTCATTTTCAGTTTACAATAGGAATCTCCCAGACTTGTAGGCATAAGTATATGAAGAGAGTGATGATAAAATACCTCAGTTGTATGCACAGACCTGTTTTTAACCTTGATTTGAACACTGTCAAAGAAGAAGCCTGTCTCACATTTTTAGGAAGACTGCTCCAGATTTTAGCTGCTTGAATCTGAAAGGCAGACTGTTTAGTTCTGACTCTCCGCACCAGCAGGAGGCCAGTCCCTGTGCTCCTCAGAGTCCGAGTCGGTTCAGATGGCACTAACATGTCACAGATGTACTTTGGTGTCTTAGTGAAAAAGAATTGGAACAAATTAGTCTTTTCACTTTTATTTTCATGTAGGATATCAACATAAAACATTTACGTTCAGCCAATAATTGACCTTTATTGTCACAGTTGCATTTTGGTTCACCCCCTAAAAGAAATCACCAGTTCTATGAGAATCTCAAAAAAGCCCCATCAACAAAATAAATTGTGTTTATTATCATTATTCCCTGCCGTAGAACAGTAGACCCCCACCCCGTCTGTGGCCTGCCAGAGATTACAGATAACTTCATCCCCTTTTGCCATCTCTGTCAGCTTCCAGTTCCACGCCTCAGTGACTGTGAGGAGGCCTAGCTTTGCGCGCCTGGCCTGTCTATGCGCTCATGCCTCACCAAAACTCACATGCAGGCAGCTTCCCTTTGAGGAAAGACTCTTAAATAATGCAGGTGCTTAAGTAAGCTTGTCGGGACGAATTGTAAGAGGTGAAAAAAAAAGCTTGCTTCACTGAGCTGGAGCCTGTTAGTGCAGAGGAGAGGGGAAGACGCGTGACTTCCAGCTCTCCTGTGTCGGCTTTAGGAACGTGGCATGCAACGTGCAGAAAGCCCAGAGGGGACAAGTAACTACGTGTTAATACTCAAGTACTATATCCTAGTAGCAGTAGTTTATTTGATGTTTTCCTATATTTCTGACAGCTTTCACTTTTCCTCCTCCTTTAAACCCAGCCATCTTTACTTTCTACTCTGTATATATTTTAAAAAGCTAGATTCAGCATGAAAAAAGGTTTGAAGTGGTGAGACTGGCAAGCCTGATCACGTCAGACCCCGCAAGCTAAACCGGGAAGGACCAGGTGATTACGTTGATGGGAGACCTCTAGAAACACAAGGTGCCACAGCGGGGAGGCTGCGGATGTCAAGTCCTTAGGAAAAACACGTCATCATATGCAGAGTATGAGTCTGGTATGAGTTGCCTCGCTTTCGTCAGTCGACCCCAGTAGTAACCATAGCAGATACTTACCACCACCGCTGTGTATGGAGTGAATGAATAATGCCAATAATGCTTGTAATTGTAATCCTTTTATTTACATTTTTATACCTTAGAGGTGTATGCTAATTTCTATTATGCCTTACTCTATTCTTACCTCTCTTCTTTGACTGTTGCATCGAGCCAAAGCAAATTCCTAGTATGGGGCTTCCTGTTACTTACGTGGGAATAGAAATGATTCTGATTCAAGTGAAGCGTCTTGGCGTGTCTAAAGCAGCACTATAGAAGTAGTATGCATAGTTATTATTATTAAGCTCTATATGAAGTACTGAAAGGGGTTAACTGTACTACGAAGTTCAATTAGCAGCCTATGTTGTGTTTATTAATATTCTGTGTCTGTATGAGACAATCTATCATGTAAGTGCCTACATACAATATATCTGAAATATTTGTGTTTACTTTATTACCTATAGTTACGCAAAAAGGTGTGTACTTTTTAACTTAAATTTTTAACTTCAAGTCAACACGGGAAAGGCAATAAAAACAAACAGGAGCCATTGGTCAATAGGGATGACCATTGTCCATTAATGTTGGTAAATGACCATGAATGTCACATGCCCTGGATCATCACCACTGTCCTTAAACCCCCTGCATCTGCAATGAACAACTCAAAAACCCAGTAGGAAAAAGTAAGAAACCTCAAGAGGGCCCCTTTTTGAGGGGTAGATACCGCAACATAGAATCAATCATTTTGCTTGGGGGCGACAGTGGCTCAGCATTGGCCTTTGAGCCTGAAGAATGTGGGTTCAAGCCCACCATAAGACCTACTTCACAACTTCCACTGATGTCTGCTGTCGTTGTGTCCTTGGGCAAGACACTTGACCCCACTTTGCCTGAAGCCCCGATGAAAGATCTCGGCTCCTGTGGACTCACCACCTGCAGGAGGGTCAGTGAGGGGCTGGTGCTCTGTGCAGTAGATGCCCCCCATCCCCCCCACATTAAGACACATCACACCTTTTATTCACCCCACACCATCTCTGCTTTACAAAAGTGAAATGCATTGACCTCATCCATCATGCTGAATTTGGGAGAGCAGCAGGAAGTGGAGTGACTTATGAGACATCTTACAACACCATCTTCTGAGGAGAGCACAAATGAGCGTCCCTTTGGAGCGGGGGATGTGAGCAGACTCCAACAGGGTTCAGTCTGGGAGGAAAGACAAGTGTGGCCAGAGCAAAGGCGCAAGACTGCCACCTGCTGCTCTATAAGATGAACTACACAATCCATGTTATTAGGAATGAGTTGAAATAGAGCTGTAAAGACTGCTTACTCTAGAATTAGTTTAATTACTTTACTTACATCTGAATTTTACTGTTGTCGGACATTGGATACAATAAATAATAAAGCTGTTTAGCCCACCACATTGTGAAAGTTTGAATACATATTTTCTTATCTTTTTGTTCATCAATCATGGACGTTTTTTGTGCTTTTTTAGTTTGTACTTAATATATGAAGCTAAAAGATGTAGTGAATGGTATGAAAGATCAGAACACTATCTTTTTTTTATTTATTTTGCATTTATTTATAATAGTAGCACATATATTAAGCGTCTTTGAGTGTCCAAAAAAGCGCTATTCAAGTTTGATGCATTATTATTATATATACCAAGTCAGCATAGATTAAATAAGCTTGTATAAATGCTATTTCTATTCTCTACGTTCAGAATGGGATGTTGAGGCAAACTGTCAGATTCTCACCCAGAGCCAGTATATCTGGTGAACCATGTCATATTTCTAGCAGTGATTTTCCCCTCTTCTTTTATCATTCTTTCTTATAGTCTGTGATGTACGAGTGAAATGTCTCGTAACACACTGCTGCACATCACTTTCCCCAAGGAGCCAAATAAAGCTGTCTGTTCCAAGCAGGGTTCAGCTCAGGACAACGGCTGCAGGCTTCAATGAAAGTTCAACAAACAAATATATGTCATTCTTGAAACATCAGTTCAAATCATTGTGACTATGATTATAAACTATGGCTATCTGCATATTTGAAATGTTAACAATTTTGCCCTGAATGTCTGTAGCAAAGTTTTATTTTACCTTTCTATGAACCGCAAGTGTTATATAGAAGGAATGAAATGTTATAACTTTTCATTGTAACTAATACAATATCAAATTGGAACATTTATCAAAATAAAACGTGATTAAAAGCCAAAGAATACTGCCCCTATTGGAGATTAGGAAAAAACTAATATTGCACTTTTATTTTGCATCTTCTAGATTTGTATTTGATAACTTCATCAGTCCAATCTATGGACATTTGCTAAAACTATTAAAAGTGAGCATACTGATAAAACAGTTTTCGTTTTATCAGAAGAGAGTTACCCCACCATGCTGCTGTGTTATATATGCACGCAATGGTCTTTTCATATCTGTCCTATTGTGTCACAGCCTGGTCTCAAACATCAGCTTCCATTCTCAAACCGGGAACCAATGAGATGGCATCATTGTGATTTCATACAGAAGCACAAACTTTTTAAAAGAACTTTGTAAATTTCTCAGTTTTAAAAATGGCTTTTAATTGTGTGAACAACTGTGTGTCACCTCTGTTCTGTGTTCTCTGGGCTCATGCTGAAACGCCACTCTGTTCTCAAAGCTTCCACCAGAGCCTCAGTCAGTGAGGACTGTGTGCTCCCAAAGCTCAGAACATCTTTTGGACAATCAAGCTTCTCCTTTAGGGTTAAACTGTGGAACTCTCTCCTCACCGGACTAAAACTACAGACTAACATGACCATCTTCAGCAGAGGGCTCAAACAGTGGTTAAGATCCACAGACTTGTCACGTGTAAATTACAGTATATTCTAATTCTTTTAAATGAACTTTATCTTCTGCACTGTAAAAGCCCCTGTGGACTAGTGTTGAAAATTAGCACATAATGCTATAATAACACTTAAAGCAATGCATCTGGTTCGTCCAATGTTTTATGTCCATATTAAATAAATGAATTCAAATAATACGTATAAATTCTGCACAGTACATTCCCATTTTCACAGGCAGCGAAGACATTCAAATAATCTGATAAACTGTAAAACATTAGAAAAACACACTAGTTTCATTATCATTCATTTTAATTCTGTACATTGCTGGTTTACTAGTTTACATTGAACACGACCGTGACATGATCCAGGCAGTCCTTAGCACAGTATATACACAAGGCCTCACTCTCCACAGTCCATCACACTGCAGTAAACCCTCTGAAGTACAAATAATGCTTATAAATACAATAATTAGCGTCTGATATTCACAATGACACCCATGTTTTTTTAATATACATTTTTTTTGCAAAATTCGATTGTCCGGTTATTATTAAGGCCTAGCTGTACATTGTCTAAATTAGAGTCTACCTTTATTCATATAAAAATACAACCAAAAAAATTATTATAAACCTATACATAGTGACTAAACAGAGAAAAAAATACTGATCATGAAACAAGAAATAAGGAAAAGTAAACAAAAGTATAAAGACTTTAGAAGTAGTAACAGTAAGTTGGCCTTATTGCTTTGGTGTGCCCGCCGGGTTCATGTCTGTATTAAGTGTGCGACATGAACGGTCAAGCTGTATGTGTATGTGTATGTTTGTGTGCGTGGTCATCTTGAACACAGTGCTGGCTTGGTCTCTCTAGTTCGATTAGTGCTAGGGTCAGAAGGCAAAGATGTCGTCTCCGAACGGGCTCGTGCAGTTGTGGTTGTTGGCGTTGGTGCCTTGGTCCCAGTCGGGCTGCGTGAGCCAGTCCTGGGGCATCACCCCAATGTCCAGGACCTGGGGGTTACTACGGGACACTGCCAGGCTGCAGACGACAACACAATGTGGACTTAGAAATATGCCAAGAGAGAAAGAAATAAAGAGGCTGTGTAATACATATATACAGTATACATGTATGTACTGTATGTGTGTGTGTATATGTCATATGTACACGTTTTTACTTAAAACTGGGGTACTAAACTTCCTTCATAAATACATTATGTTTGTCCCAACATAAAGAATCTTGTAGAAGTAAAATGTTGTGGACAAAATCAGACCACAACATCTCATTAGAAAACATGTTATCTTTTGCACACTGAGAGCTGATTGGCTGTTGGCTGAGAGAGGCTGGTACTCCCTTTTCTGTCAGAAACAGCTAAAACATGTGAAAAGGCAAAAAAATTAATGCGTTTGAAAACTAATGATAGAACCAAACGGTTTTGAGATGGAGTAACTAGTACTATTACAAATATTTTAATACTTAGTTTCATTGTACTGTGTAGTTTGAAAGTTAGGTACCTCAGCTTTTGTAGTCAACTATAAACCAGAAGAGACATCAACTATGTAACACAACTTTTCAAATGATCGGTTAAAAGTTGGTGCCACCTAAGTGATTGGAGTAGAAAGTAACAATTTGAGCGATACAAGATTGTATGATTTGATTTTCTTGATTGCCAATATAAAAATCACCACATTTAAATACAGTATAGCGGCAAAACTCAGCCTGGGCGCTCCAATGGCACTCAAAATGTCATGAACTACTTTCGGCTTCCTGCTTATTCCTCCCAATCCTTTCTGGTATGTGCTTTACAGAGGATATCTCAGCTCTGGATCTGCTGTGGCCTTTCCAGTGTTTAGCCAGTAACAACTTGGCCTCATTCATAAGCGCCGGTTTATAAAGTCGCGCTGGAGGTCGGAGAGGTTACCGGCACGTTTACAACACAGGGCTCCAGGGAAAGAATGGGGTGATTTGTAATAAAGTTATTTGACATACTGCCCTACGAGTACACTCTGGGACAAAGACTTCTGATAGAGGCAAACAATGTTATTTCCACGGCTGCGGTGCTCACACAAGACAAATAGACACAGGGCAGAGTTATCAGGGAGGGAGATAAAAGCAATTTTTGGTGATGATTAAATGGAATAGGACGTAGCATTCTTCACCCTGACTGAAATTCAATACGCTGAATAAGCTTTCTTTTTCAGATCCCAGTTGGCAATAATTGTATCTGGGCGAACCAATAAAGAAAACAGAAAGCTATTTCACACTATTGAACCCAGCCACGGGCGTCAGTATGTGACCTGTACAACGGTATTATTGGGTTTGGCGAAGATGGAATGAGCTGGATTAGGGTTAGTAATTAGGACTAGCACACTAGGGCTTGGAACAGTAGCACTCAGCTTTACCTGCGCGTGAACCATAGCTATCCAGAGCACGGCTAGGGACAAAAGACATCATATAAAGCTCACACAGCATCCGTTTGGTCGATTCCAGTATCATATTTTCAATTTAAATCACACACAAGATTGACTTTGGAAATTCTGTAAGGGCATATTTGCAAAAGGGGAAATATATGGGGAAAGTTTTTTTGTTAAAGCAGGTCTGTACTGTTAAAGAATCAAATTAAAAATCAAAGTCAGGGGTTTTTAAACATGAGGTTTTTAACAGGATTCTTACCTGGAGAAAGCTTCGTCCAAACCGTCCTCGATCTCCTGCAAGAAAACAAATTACATTTTTTTTAAAGTGGCGTTTTCGGTTTGAATGGCAACATGTTCATTTGTAAAAAAATCAAGGTCAATTCAAACAGAGGACAAAGACCACAACTCTCACTACACGCGGAGAGTTTTTTTTTTTTGACCATTGCTTTTGCAAGAAGAACTATCCAATCACAACATATAAAAGCTTAAACATTTGGTCAAACCTTAGTTAGTCCCTTACTAATTAAGTGTTATTTACCCCTTATGTGGTATTTATTAAGCACATATAATTCCTTATTTTACATGGCCTTATTCAACATCTCAACATCTAACTAACTACTAAACAACACATTTTTCATTTGACAATACGCCGATTCCTGTTTAAGTCCATGTTGTCGGCCCTAAAACCAGTCTGGTGAACAAAAGTGGGCCTCTTACACCCCTCTTACACCCCTGGCAATTCAGAAGTGTTGCTCATACAAAATAAAGTCCCTGTTTAGGAAATCCTGCTGTTATCCCCATTGTCAGAACCAATATCCAGAGGAAAGAGCTGGGAGTCTTCCCATTGTCCAGAGCGCACACGTACCCATTGCGGGTTGTTGTTGCTCTCCTGAGGCCGATGGTTATCCAGCTGCTCCGCCTCTGCGTTCCCATTGGTCTCATGTCTGTGATCGTCAAAGTCCAGCAGGTTGTCCGTGGCAACGTCTATGAGCGAGAGCACGGAACGAATGATTTTATAGTTAGTGATTTCATATGAGGTGAATGAGAGGATTTGTGTGTGTGTGTGTGTGTGTGTGTGTAGTAATCTTTATTTATATACCGCCTTTTTCACTGCACATCGGATTCTCAAAGCGGTTTACAATTGTTATTTTTTTGGGAGTGGGGGTGCCAGTACAGGAGGCACATGCCAGACCTATTGTACATATTTTTTGTGGTAGGGGAAACCGGATCACCCGGAGGAAACCCGGACCGGGATTCGAACCCAGGACCTTCTTGCTGAGAGGCGAGAGTGCTATCCACTCAGCCACCGTGCCGCCCCATGTGTGTATCAGTGGTGTGTCAGTGTCTGTATCACTTTGTGTGCGTGTATCAGTTGTACTGTGTCAGTGTGTATATCAGTTGCAGTGTGTGTATCGCAGGTGTAGCGTGTGTTGCAGTTGTGTGTGTATCCATTAATGCTATTGTACATTCCCTATTGCTGTAAATGGATTTTTCCTATTGTTGCAATTGTATTTTATATTATTGTGTTTCTTTTTCATGTAACCAGGGACAGCAAATGTAAGTTCCCTGTGTGATTTTAATGTTTAAATGGTTTTAATTACTTGATATTGATGTGAATTTAATATTTTTTATTAACCTTGTGATTTTAATATCTTTAATAACCTAATGGTGATTTTGTGTTTGTTTATATGATTTGTGCCTAATGTGATGTGGATGTGAAGCGCTTTGTGTTATCCTGTGTAGGAAAAGTGCTCTATATATTAAACATTGATGGATATAACTAACTAATTAACTATGGACACAAGGGGAAGTCAGGAAGACTGCGGAGACGATCCCAAACCTTTGCTTCAGACGGAGCCTCACCTGTGCCCTTCACACTGCCCAGGCTGTTGGACCTCTCTGAACGACAACTGTTGCTGGACTCGCCGGCCGAACCAGACTTGGCCCGCTTCCCTTTCTCTGTGGACGCGCAGAGAAATACAAGGGATAAAGACGTTGCGAGTGAGAGTTTAAAAATAGAGACGTAAACAAAAACCACCTGTGTTTGTCAGATGCATTCTCTATGACTCACTCCTTGTAATTGCCACAAAATGGTGCAATTGTATAAAAAAAGAAAAAAAGGTGTCAATGTGCCTACGAGAATAAAACGGTTACGCAAGGGATGAAGAATGCTAAAGCTTTGCAATAACAAAAACAAAAGAAAGATGAAACATTGCATTGATGAACATTGTAGTGAGATATTATTCACTAAAGCCAAAAAGAGGTGTAATGTCACTTTTCTGATGGGGAAAAAAAGACAGTATAGATACCACACAATAAAAGGCACAGAGCATTTTGACAAGCAATGAATCTAGTTATAACTCTTTTAGCAACTTAAATAACTGGGGCAGATGGACATTTAATCTCTTTCCTTTTCCATTCCCACAAATCTGAATACGTCGCCCAGCAGTAAGCTCTACAGCAGGGGTGTCAAACCGGTTCCAGAAAGGGCCTGTGTGGCTGCAGGTTTTAGTTCCAACTTGAGCAGGAGCACACCAGACTCCACCCATTTCCTCAAATCTTAAGGTGAAAAATGGTCTCACCTGAGGAAATGGGTGGAGTCTGGTGTTCTCCAGGTAAGGTTGGAACTAAAACCTGCAGCCACACCGGCCCTTTGAGGACCGGTTTGACACCCCTGCTCTACAGGAATGGTCTACATTTTATACTTTTTGAGATTCAATATTTCTGTATACCTGCACACAGTCAGTAGAAAACCTAAACATTTTATTTAAATTGTGAATATTTAAAAGTCATGCGGTCTGTCTCTGGCTCAGTTGTTTCTTCAAAGACAGTGGGTTTAGGAGAAAGAACAGCGAGTCCCCTTCAGCTCCATGATGGACGTCGCTCAATTTGAATGCACATTTAGACGATAGAAATTGAGAAAAGTAGAGATTGGACTTGTTTTTTTATCTTTTGATTTTTGGCACTGCTCTAAGTAGTCATTTATAGTATGAACTTTCCAGCAGCTGTTCTTTATCGAGAATAAGAAGGCTTCAATGCTTTACGTGAAATCATTATCCATACGGGGTGAAAATCGTTAAATCAGTTTTCTTTTTTTAATGGTTTATTTGGTTGGGACCGTGTGTATTAATGAACAGCAGTGCGGTGAATACACCAGATTGTTGCCTAGGGCTTTTTTCCATCTGTTGTCCCAGAGTCACACTCACAAAAGTTTAAACTGGAGTCATTCTTTTTAATTAGGAATAACTTTACTTTAAACTGTTATAAACTCTGAAAAAAGGTCATATACAATTTTTACATGTTGACCCATCATCTAGGTACACATTCAAATATCACAAATCACAAACTGTTCCTTTATTATTTTATCATTTGCTCCACAGAAAGGAAGCTGCCAACAATCATCTCCAACATATTTTTGTTGCACAATTCGCCGTATATCAGATCAGAAAGCCTGCGCATTACCAACGGAGAGCATGCAAATGTAACTTTAAAGCATCCGATGTTTTGCCGGGTTTTTATTATACATGTCTGACAATTTCCATCCATCTGCAGCAGTGTTTTGACTTCCCTGAGGATCAATGCCTACCTTCTTTAGCCACTTGCCAGAGTTCAAACGCTACTGTGAAGGCTTGTGCGACTGTCAGAGCGACCGCCTGGGCCTGGAGGAGAGAGGACAGAAAGCACAAAGAACAACTGTCAAGTGAGCGCAGAGTGGTCCGGCTGCAGCTGCTGGAGGAGGAGACAAATGTCAGGCTCCACACAGCGCTCTGAAGTTTGACATTTCATTTGGATCCTTTCAAAACGACACAAATAAACAAAAAAGGTGGGTGAAAAATCCTCCAAGTTGCAGTGAAAGGATGTGTTTGATATTTGCTATATGTCCAATGTGGTTCAGAAATATCAGTGACGAGTTGTTTCGAGGATATGCAACATTTGGAAATGGTTTGTAGTTTACCGTATTCAAAAATAATAATGGATACACCTGCAAGAGTTTGAAATCGCTTCAAATCTTCAGTTATAACACTCTACTACAACAACTTTGCAATGACTTAGTTTTGTAGTGCATTATTGGACTTTTTTTGATTAACTATTTAGAAGTGCTGTATTTGCACTTAAATACTTAAAGAGGATTAAAATAATTGAACCAAATGAATATTTGGGGCAACAGTGGCTCAGTTGGTAGAGCATTGGCCTTTGGGCCTGAAGGTTATGGGTTTGAGCCCACCGTAACTGCTAATTTACACATCACGCGTTACAGCACGTACGCGTTATACGCGCAGCAGACGCGCGTAACTTTTTTCCATGTCAACCTATGATGATATTTACACTTCTAGCGTTATACGCGCGTATGACGGACATGTGACGCGAAGCTGCGCTCTAATTTAGGATGGATTTCTAATTTTGTGCGCGCACCAACGCGTCTCCCATTGAAATCTCATGTAAAACATGATTTTTCTAGCGGTCCTTGGCTTTAGATCACATCTGCACGCACACTGCACTTGTGTCTAAACATCAGCAGGAGAAGCAGCAGGTTTTACAGTGATTCTGGACATCGTTTTTTTTCATTCATAAAGTCTCGCGTCTGGCCAAACCAGCGCACAGAGACTATGAAGACAAACACATGCATGTGATTTGTGTTGCTCTACATCAGTCCTCTGGCTCGTACTGTCCTCTACACTGCTCCATAGACTACACAGGGAGAGCATCAGAAGCCGCGGACCTGCGCGCACGGTCAGTGTAGATACTCCAAAAAAATGTTACGCGCAGAGAGCGCGCAGTAAACGCGTACGCGCTGTTTACGCCTACTGTGTAAATCCGCCGTAAGACCTACTTCTCGACTCCCACTGATGACTGCTGTCGTTGTGTCCTTGGGCAAGACACTTAACCCCACTTTGCCTGAAGCCCCGCTGAAAGATCTCAGCTCCTGTGGACTCACCACCTGCAGGAGGATCAGTGAGGGGCTGGTGCTCTGTGTACTGGGTGCAGCTCTGACTGCCACCCCCCCAACCCAGAAATGGATTAAGGGGAAGAAAATGGATGGATGCATGGAAAATCTCTATATGTGCAAATTAACATTATTCAAAGTTCAAAATCTTTGGTAGAAGAATTCAGTACTTATTTCATTGTTTTGAAAGAAAAACATTAGTTGACAAATAATTGTTTGAATGATCAAGATGGCGAGATTCAAGATTGAATCATTCTGTCCCATAGGAGGTTTGTCTTGGACCAATTTCCTTTAAAATCATTAAGAGTGATTTTATTTTTTCTATAGCCAAGCAGCCGTATTACAAGTATAATCTTACAAATACTCATAATTTATTGACTTTTAATGGGCATCTAATATATATATATATATATATATATTTTTTTTTTACGATGGTGGCATTATATACAGTAACCCCAGTTGGGCCAAGTCATGGAAACATTCATTCACAGCTTTAGCTTTAACCTCAATAGAATAAGCAGCTTTATCTCCCACTGTGCTGAGTAGCATCTTCTCCATTTGTCCTAAAACTGATGTATGGTCATATTATCCCCGGGGAGGAGGAGGAGGAGAAGGAGGAGGAGAAGGAGGAGGAGAAGGAGGAGGAGAACGAGGAGATGAGCGAGTAAGACGAGAAGAAAAATGCCCTTCTGGATGTCAACGCTAAGCAATACGGCAGTGGAAAAGTGTTTGGCTTCTAGAGTTTCCTGAGAGGAAGGAAAGATGGGAAGGTTGGACTCGAGCAGAACTAGAGCCGTCTGACCCGGATGAACGAGGATACAAATGAGATTCATGAGCTCACGAACAAAACCAAAAACATAGTAATAATGGTTGTAGTTGTGAGGGTCTGACAAGAAGGACAGTGGCGATGATCCAGGACACGCAACATTTATGGACATATGGCATCTGCCCCTTATGGACCGTTGGCTTTATCTGTCAAATATTGTTGCATTTAGTGTTTGATTCTCTTATCTGTGTTGGTGAATTCCACAGTTTAGTTAAGTCCTCCGAGAGAACTACTGCAAGTGTGGAGGCCTTTAAAAGAGGCCTAAAAACCTACCTTCTTAATCAGGCTTATTAGGGACTTTACTAGCTTTTAACCCTTCATGTATCTTAGTATTTATGTACTTCGGATTATTTTGCTTTGTTTTGAGGCTTGTGGTTTTGTATTTCAAATCTGTAGAACTTTGAGGTTTCCTGGAAATGTAAGGTGCACTATAAATAAAATGTATTATTATAACTACTGTTGCGATTGAGGGCTATACAAGAATACACTGGATTTAATGGTTCATGAATAGTTTCTGAATTTGCGAAACGTACCACTTTCCGCTTGGAGCAGAGGTAGGCGTGACATTCCAGCGTTCCGTTCAGAGTATTTTGGGCGATGTAGGCGAAGACTTTGTCGTGCAGCTTGTCCACGGTGCAGTAGGATATCCTGTGGAAAGGGCAGACGCACAGGGACGGTTAAAAGATCTGCAGAGGGCCAAAAGAACGCACGTGCCGTTTACGAGCAGTCGCCGCACCTGTATATTGAGACGTTCTCCAGGAGCTTGTCCGCGGCGCAGTCGTACACAGCGATTCCGTTTGGAGAGATTTTGAGGCAGACTTTTTGAGGCTTTTTGCCACTGGCTTTGGCCTGTACACAAACACATGTGACAAGTGTTTTTTTTTAACCTTGAACAGACTTAAACGTGTTGAGAAGCGGTTTTATGATAGAAATGTACAACGCCTGTTTACAAAGTATTTGGAATCAAAAAACCGAATGTGTAACAAGTCATCTCTGAAGGTGTTCACTTTTTGATTCTACAAAATATATACAAACATTGAAATTGTAATTATACAACATGTGATGAAACTAGGGCAAATACTGATGCTAGCTTGTATGTTTATATATTTGCATGTGTAAGTACAGTGAAAGCAAAGTGTACAGAAGGTCATGTAAATATTGTAAATACTGCTGAATGTATGAATTCTGCGCGAATGAATAAATATCACTTTGGGTTTAATTTTTTTTAAACTTTAAAAATCACATTTTCGGAACATTTTGGATATACCATACATCATTCTTTTGTGATTTAAAAGTTAGGTAACCCATTTTTAAAGTCGAGTTTAGAATAACACTTTCCATTTTAGTCTGGTTTGTGAAATTATGACAAAATCTTGCTGTAATTGTAACATTCAGTACCACCATGATTTTCAATATTTTTTTTTATGGAACACAAACATAGCCGAAAAGACAAAATCCACTCCCAATTGTGCTTTTGCGTCATTGCCCTTTTGCAACTTTGTGGGAGGAACTAGAATGTTGTGAGAATGTTTTAGATTCTCAGATAACACTCCCAACAGTCTCCCATTTGGCTCCAGGAAGTAACGGCACGTTTTATTCTAACCAGGACGAGTCCGCTGGAGTAACAGGGAGACGGGTCAGTAATGAGTGGACATTGTGGACGTTCTGTTTGTTCTCGTCAAAGTAGTGTGACTCGTCGCCAAAACAAACAATGACGTCGCTGAGCAGCTTATTCATACAGCGGTTTATAACAAAGGCTATACACATGCAAAACAGGGCAGAGTCCAGAACTGCAGGACAGAGTCAAAATGGCACAACACCTGCTCACAAGCAACTTTTTCATTTTTCAATCCTCAGCAACAAAATAGTCTATTCTAAAAGGAAACCATGTTCAGTTTAAAAATAAGTGTATACAAGAAGAGAGCGATATTATTTGCTGCAGCAAGATATTTAAATGTTTTGGATGGTTAAAAGATGCAGTAAAATGACTAAAAACACAATATGAAGTCAAAGGCAGAGCACAACGCCTCATTACACTACCTCTTTGTTGTTTAAACAAGTGAAGCTGCAACAAAATATTATTTTATTTTATATTCCATAAAATATTATGAAACTTTCTCTGCTCTGAATGCAAAACTTGCTTTTTCAGAAATGACAAAACTGCTATGACCGCACGTCTATGAAAAGGGCCTTTGGTCAAGAGGAAACATCAAGATTACGTGTAGATGATTAGATAAGAGTCTTGTGATGAGAGTCATCAGTTGTGAGGAAATGCTCAGATTCCGTGTTTGTATTTGACACGTGTGATACGGTCAGTGAGGTGAGCCTCTCACCGTGGCCACGATCCTCTTTACTGCGGCGGCTGACAGCTCCTGACCCTTGGGCTGGTCAACCAGGGTCATCCCCAGGTGCCGCAGGTTAAAGCTCATGCCCTCCAGGATGGTCTCCCGTGTGTCTGTCCAGTTCTCCGGCAGCTCTGCAAACACAGCCAAAGGCAGCCGATAAAACTGGAAGCAAACTTGTTTGTGTTAGAGATTTATTCAACTTCAAAACAGCACGTAAACATCTAAGTAAAAAACCATGAAAACCACAGTTTTCATGGAGGTTATTTTGCAGCACTTCAGAGAAGAAGAAATGTAAACATCCCATGTTGAACTTTATATTGCTCCATTTTGCGCACTTTCCCCGAAAAACAAGTCAAAACAGTCTTTCTAGGTCAAAGGGACTGCAAAGTAAAGTCAGAACATCACATTCAGCTCGGCCAAACATCCTCTGCATGTAAGAATTACACCAACAAACACCTTTCACTTTCCTCTTCAACAAACGCTTTAAACAGCGGGATTAACACATTACTGCTGTATTTATGCTTTTACCTCCATTGACGTCACTCAGACATTGCTCAGGGAGGAATGCATCTTGAAACCTCAATATGTGGGCATTTAAAATACACCCCTTCCAAACGGCAAACTGCCAATATCAGGCACTGCTCAACCATAAACGCTAGTCCTCAAAAGTAACTTTTTAAGCATTTTTGTTTATTACAAGGACATGCACACCCAGCTCTCAGCACTCTTAAACAAGAACAGATGCAGGATTCCTGGGATTCATGTTAAGGACAAGTCAATGGCAGCATTCCAGGGCGTGTGTGCTAAAGAAATAACACTACAACCATCACCTCCTCCATCACAAAGACCTCTTAAGGTTTTATCATGTCGGACCTTGAACTATATCTTGTGTTTACACGGGGGGCGGGGAGGGGGCCGTATGAACTGTCCACAGAAATACTTGGAAATGTATCCTGGAAGTGCCTACTCCTCTGGGAGAGAGCGCATACCTCACACTCAAGCAGACACATGTTTGCTCACACGTGCATAGGTTTCAAATGACGATCTGCCATTTATCATGTCAGGGGCTTCCAGAGGCAAACACATTTTAGGCCAGTGTTACAGAGAAAAGTATTTTAGGGCTTTGCTGTAAAACGGTAGGAGTAATAAACAGTGGCTGCAGCAGATTATTTTGGACGATTTAGCGGTAAGGATAGGAGTCGTGTAAGGACTGCATATTATGGGTGTGCTAAAAGAAGAATTTCAGATAGATTTTTCTTTAGATACAATATTCTATTTCTAAACCTTTTCCCCCCAGATATTGTAATTTTTGTACAATTTAGTTATAGATACCCAAACTTTGCAAACAGGAGCATGAGGCAGACATTTTTCCAACAATCAATCTTAGATAGAAGAAAACTGCGTCAATAATGTTGCAAGGCATTCGTTTAAAAATCTTTTTTTTAACTGAAAACAATCAGCTCTGAAAGACACCCGGACCTAGTGCTTATCCACAATTTTTCTTTTTGTGCAGAAGTTAAAAAAGATCTCAATGTTTGTGATGATGATGTGTTTCAGGTACGAGCGCTGCAATCACTTGGTATTGTGACAAAACGTGACAAGAGAGAGAAAGGCTAAAGGTAATCGCTTATGACACGTGAAGAGAAACAGCCGAGTGGCAACAGGTGAGTCCGCTGCACAAGAGCAGAGCAGAACATCAGCACATCCATTACTGGGAATCAAACATGAGGGCAGCCAAGGTGAGGGCTCTCGGATGACACAGTCTGCACCGGAAATCTGCTCGCCAAAGCCTAGAAGATGCAGAATTATAGGAAGAAAAAAAAAAATCAACATTTTCTTTGAGGCAATACAGTAACCCAGCTTGCAATCATTTACAAAAGAGTTGAATTGAGGTGGCTTTGCAGCATACAAATTATGTATCATTATTATCACTAGCCTGTACCCAATTTTCCTGCAGAAATACTGTAGTTAAGTTTTTAAAATGTAGCAATGAATTTTATGTTAGACTTCTTGTAAAACCAAAGTTTGCATCATATAATTGTGACAAAATGTTATAGATCAGCAAATAATGGGGAAATCAACCAGATTAAATCACTGTCTGCAACAATGTTTAGACAGAGATTTTTTTAAATAGAACTCCATAAGGTGCAGTAAGCGATTTTGTTAGCTTAGCCGTAGCACCAACCCCAACACCATTTTCTTTTCTTTGTCACAACAGGGAGAGTGGGTGGAAAATGTGAAATTGGCATTTTCTGTTCAGTCGTTATAGGTTTTAGAAAATCTAACTCAGGTGCGTGGACTTGTAAGAAACAGGAAGAGGGTGAAGGGGGTAAACGCATCCCATTGGTTCGTTGGCAATGAACGAATAGTTTTTTTTTATATCGGTCCGCTCCATAATATTTTTAATTAATTTCTGTAGACTATAGGCATCTGGTCAATTCCATTACTATTATTTGAAAACACATGATAACTTGACTAGTTTTAGGGTTTAGAGACGTTTTCTCACAATATTTAAAAAAAATGCGTCTGGGAAAAAAAAATAATAATAAATAAAAATAAATCACTGACCGCATCTTAAACCAATTCATAATTATACTGCCGTTGTGTCCTTAGGCAAGACAATTCACCCCCATTGCCTAGAATGAGTCTGGTGTGTGTGTGAATGGTTGGTTGGTGGTGGTCGGAGGGGCCGGTGGCACATACTGGTTGCCTCGCCTCTGTCAGTGCGCCCCAGGGCAGCTGTGGCTACAGTAGCAGTTTATCACCATCATGTAGGGAGTGAATTAATAATGACATGTAAAGCGTCTATGCGTGTCCAAAAAAGTGCTATATAAATCTGAAAAATCTGATGCATTATACAAAAACATGTTTATTGTTCAATGCTTCCAAGCTGCTAATGGCTACTGGTCTTCCCGAGGTCCTCTGACCATCCATATGTACACAACATAAGACAAAACATAACCATATTTAAAATCATAGTGACTTGTTTCTTGGGATTAACCAATATTGACTGATGAGACTTCCCTGACAAAAGTCTATTGAAAGACCGGGCTCACATCTGCTGAGACTAGCCCTCACAATCCTGTCTGATTTTACGCCCGACGACTCCAAACGCCCTCGCCATAGCAACCGCCAACTCCACTGCAACAACTTCACCATCAACTGTACGGCCAAAACACATTCAAACCCAGCTATTACAATGACTTTGACCCTTTTCCATCTCTGCCGAGCTGAATATGTCAGGAAGGGTGTTTCAAGGGGAATTTATGGATGGTGACGTCAGGGTCCGACACGGCAGCATAAACACAAAACGGGAGACGGAAGATTAGAGGAGAATATGCTAAGTTAAATACAGGTTCAGACGGCTTCAGCATGTAACTCGCAACAAACAAAAGCAAAATATAAATCCCACAAGATTAACTAGAAAAAAGTGACCCAAACTATTTCCGCAGCAGGTTCTCAATGTTTCCAAAGCCTGACATGTTGTTCCATTGGGGACTTAAGGTCACTGAACTTAATACTTTTAGCCTGTCTGTGGAAAAAAGTTTCATAATGCATTTCCGGCTAATCTGTTAGACACAAGATTTTATAGTTAGAATTTACAAAGCAATTTTGTAGTGGTTCTTAGATTACATAGGATTACATTGAGCCTAGTTTGTCCCGAGTCTAAAATGTGAACAAATCAGGCCCCAACATGCAATCTTTAGCTTATTAGAATATATATTAACTTTGCATACTTGTAACCCAGAGCCCTGTGAGTCACTATTTGACTGAGCAAAAGTGGTCCATCTTCAATTTTATGTGTGGAAAAGACAAAAAATGATGAAAGCATGTGACAGAGGACAAGAAATGCAGGCAACTTTTTGAGGGGGGAGAAAATAGAGATGAACTGGTTTGAAAGTTAGGAATCTCAGCTTTAACTCATTCTGGCAAAATAGAATCCATTATCTTTCAACCGATGCTTCACTATACAGCTAAAATCCAAATATGATTTTTTTCCTATTCAATCGTTTCAAACATGAAAAAGATGTAGAAAAATATAATCAAAAGAAAAAGGGAAAACACAAAAACAAAGAAATACCTGTACATTGTTTGAGAAGGGTTTTGCTAAATCAAAAAAATCGTATTGCCACTAATGCTTATTGGTGCTTCCTCGCTGCCACTTTGGGACTGAAAAGAACATCCAACATTCTCTGCCCAATTACTCCTCAGAGTAGCTGGTACTTAGGCATTTCACAAAACACCCAAATGATTATTAGCATTGTGCACTGTAGCCCCGAGTCCACACTCTTGGCTTGTAACGTCTCCATTTGGTAAAGGGCACAGCTATAGACCGGTCCTCCTGGCACTGGCACCGGGCCACTGCAGGTTGTCTGGGGCGACCAGCACAAGAGCAAGAGAAGGACCCTGCTGTTTGCCGTTTGAAAACAGAGCAGTCTCTATTGGGATGGAGAAATGAATGTGTCAAATGGCTACGGCCCTCAGCGGACACATCCATTCTGCTTAGGCCAGAAAGTATATATGTTTTCATATTGTGCAGAGCTGCTGGGATGGGATTTATAGTGGAGAGCATAAACAATTTCGTCAGGCTTGTATACGCGTGTCCTCTTGTTCTTAAATCCAATGTGCCAATATAGTAATGCCAATATCAGGCAATAAATAATAATTGCATTTTAGGGTTGTCAAAAGTATAAAATTATATATATCTTATACCAAAATGAATTTCCAAACAAGAACTCATGAGCAAGTATTTTGAACTGGTGGCCAACTCTAAAAAAATACTCACTGTTCAATCTAACCTTTTTGTTAGTGGGCATTAATGTTGACTAGCTTGGATACCAGTGGCTCCCCATCCCCACTGCATTAAATATTTAAAATTATTTGAAAAAAAAAAAAAAGGGAAAAAGTACCAAGAGTGTTGGTTTAAAAAAAAATAAAAAAATAAGAGCTTATTCAGATCTGTAGTATTGAATTTGGGCTATTCATTAGAATTGAAATATATATTTTCTAATGCATCAATTAGAAAATATCTTTATAATCAATATTGGAAGACTATCATCAACTAGGAGGGCTTTCTCTTGTACAGTGCCCATGTTTTTCTGAACTGTAACGTTCTCCCCCTTCCTCACGTTGGTGTAAAGGTCATGGTCACTTACACGCAGCAGACTACTGTGTAAATATACAAAACGTTAAAATGGGTCAGTGCAAAGAAGATCAACTTTTCCAATTGTTGACAAATATATCCACATTCAGCCAGTTCGGTTTCCTGTTAAGACACCGCACCAACATAACGGAAAAATCACATCACTCACACAAACTGATTATTGTGACACAGTTCTTGCATGGGTGGAATTTCTCAGGTAATCTTCTCCATTACAAGCCACAGGGAGACGCTTTACAGTAAAGTGCACTGTAATTCCTAATGACCCTATGGAATCCAAGTCTGAGCAGCCTGAACTTGGCTGGTGGGGGCAGTGCACCGAGTGACCCACAGCATTCCTCCATTGTCTTGAGCTGGTTACAGGCAGCCCAGAGCCTTTATGCCCTAAGCTGCTGGTCATTGCCCCCTCCAGAACTTTATGTGACAGATCTAGTGAGATTTACTTAACAAAGTGGCCCTTGAGTCTTACAATAAGAGTCAGACTGACCTGAGCAGTTTGAGAGCACAGACAGCCCCCTCCCCTTACTCTCTCCGGGCTTTACACATATATTTTACACCTAAAACAACAACAATAATGTGGTTTTTAGGTCCTTTCTGAGAGGAATGCGTTTTCCTTGGCACTGGCAAATATGACAATGGGAAAAGTAGTTCTCAGAGGATCTTTACCCACAAGAAGCAGTGGAGTTAGAATGCAAATAGCAGTCTGAGGGTATGATCATGCATAGTCCAACTCAAGTGAACTCTGTAATTATATTTAAGTTGTGGAGATGTACAAGAGTTCACTTTTTGAAACAGCTCTGTGACTTCATGAGGACTGTTGCATTTGCTTTAGAAGGGAAGAGAGTGCAGTGAATAAATGTGAATCGATCTCTGAGTCCATCATGTGGAAGAAACACATCACCAAAGCTTGTGGGGTTTGCCTCACAGTGGACATGGCGTTATAGAAGATGCCATATAGGGCTATATAGGGCTATATAGAACAATTTGACAAAGAAACGCGGTTTGGATTGAATGGTAATCATCAAGAATGTGTTCCTACATTATACCTTTAAGTTAACACATTTATTTTTGGATTCATCAAGACACATCCATTCCCCAAGCCCTAGACATCTTGTTGTTGGGAAGTTTCAAGGTGCCTGCAACTCACACATGGTATAGTCTGAAAGTGTGATACCAAACAAGCACCAAACATGACAGGCTTTTCTGGGCTCAAAGTAACTTACAAAAAAAAACAAAAAAAAGTATTTCCCCCCCAGATAAATCAGTGAAATGGGCGACAGGAAACCGCGTATCGACTCAAGACAAGGAACATAAAAGAAAACAAAAGACACCCCCCAAAGTTTACGACAAAAGACGATGGTGCAAACGTAAAGTCACACTTCGAGAGCCTAAAATTAAAAACACTAACATTGATCTAAGTACTTTCCCGATCCCAGCAGCAGAAGCAGCAGCAGCAGCAGCAGCAGCAGCAGCAGCGTGGTCACAGGCTAGTAGCAGCAGCAGCAGCAGCAGCAGCAGCAGCAGCAGCAGAGAGTGAAGCAAAACAAAAAACTTTCTGCGTGTTCAATCTTACTTCTGTGTCTGCCCGACGTCCACGACTGCTTGGCCATGCTGGGGCTGCGGATGATGGCGCGTCCTGCCGACCTGAGCGCATCCATGTCGGCGTGGTGGTGTTGTGTTGTGTTGAGAGGAGATGAGTGTGGATGTGGATGGAGAGAGCAGAGACAGAGACAGAGACACGGCGCTGAGTGGTGCGTTCCAGTGCGATCCGAAACTGCGCTATTTACGGGCTGGGCGCACGTGAGCGAGCCCAGCTGAGGCCACACACGGGCTGCGTTCAAGGACACCTGGGACATATGGCTTTCACTAACTTTTAACGCTGTCCATCAGTCTTAATTTGTAGATGATTAAAGAAAGGGGCTGGCAAAATTAGATTTTGTTCTTCTTGCGGGTCTTTTTCATGTGTGTGTGGTGTATTGTCATGTCCAGAATTAATTTAAATCAAATTAAATAGATAAAATTAAATACATTTGTAAAATAAATTTATATATATATATATATATATAATATATATATATCTGAGTTGGTAAACACTGAATCAGATGTGTACATGTTATACTTTTCTTATGTATTGAAATCCTAGCAGTTGGACAATAACAGTTGGGTACTTTAGGTTCCCTGTCGAAAGTTAAATGTTGAGAACAAATCATGCTGTCTACATCTTATTGGAACATATTCTTCAAACTTGCCACTTTTTGACACTTTGGGTTGATCTAAAGTTTTCAATAACATGTACAAAGTCGTACAAATCGTAAAAATAGAACTGTTTTGAGAGCAAGGAACTATTTGGCTGGATGTTATCACATATTTACATTTGTTTGTGGTTTGAAAGTTATGTACCACAGCTTGTCGTTGTGTCCTTGGGCAAGACACTTAACCCCACTTTGCCTGAAGCTCCCACTGAAAGATCTCAGCTCCTGTGGACTCACCACCTGCAGGAGGATCAGTGAGGGGCTGGTGCTAAGTGTACTGGGTGCAGCTCTGACTGCCACCCCCCCCGACCCAGAAATGGATTAAGGGGAAGAAAGTGGATGGATGGATGGTACTACAGCTTTAACTTTCAAACCAATACAAATAACTGTGTAATTAAATCAATTTAACTGGCTCTCAGAGCAGTTTGGTTCTGTCACTAGCTTTCTGTGCTTTTTAGGCTCTTTCAATCAGCTATTTCAGACAGAAAAGTTAAAAAGAAAGGCCCACCCTCACTTGGCCAAAGTGGCTCTCTGCCCAAATTGCCAAATAGTGACTCTTGGGTTAAAGTATGCAAAAGATATGTACTAATAAGATGAAGACAGCAGGAAACTTATAACTTTACAAGACTTTGATGCCCCCGCTATAAGTTTATGGAAAGTAAATGAGGTTATAATATATAAGTAACATAATAAGCAGTATGTAAAGAGAACAAATATGTATGTATTATGTGTATTTGTAATTGGATCTTTCTGCAATACATTGTGTCTGGAACCACTGTCTGCAATGATTTAATTCAAAACATAAAGTTACACTGTGCGACTTTCTCCCTCGAGATGCTAATAAGAGCTTTTTAACCAACCCATGAGTAAAGGTTTCAAATAAAACAGATATTCGTTGACTGCCACCAGCAAAACGTTCTTTAATATGTGACGGAAGTGAATGGAGACACAGTCACCAACACTTAAAAGAAAGAAAATAAACAAAGTGGAACAATGATGAACAAAGCACTTTTTACTTTCTTTTCCTTCTAATAGAAACTGGTAAAAACAACGCAAATACTGAAATCACAACGCCAGAGCGATCCACAAACTACTTTTCCAGGTAGGCAATATGAAAGCACAACATGGTGGAACAGGTCACCAATCCCAACACAACATTCACAGAATCCTTCCAGATAGAAAATATAAGGAAATCAACTCAAATACAATGCAAAAAATACCAACAAGGTGCCATTCAATAATCCAATGTCATGAAATAAATAAATATAAGTGCCAAGACAATCGTTCTAAACACCTGCTGCCTTATCATAATCTTCAGCTTCGACCCTTGTAAAGGCGACACCATTCCAACGAGTTCAAATGACAAAAGTAACAGCACTCTATAGCAAACATTAGGCTAGCTACACTGATCAAATGTATAGATGGACAAAATAACATCAACACTGTTTGAACTGAAAGTCAAATCAAAGGAAACATTCTTCAATAATGTACATTGTAAACAACTAAATGCCGACTTCAGGGCAATCAGCTTGGCGAGAGTTTGGCGAACCAAGTCTGTGTCACTGTAAAATACTTCTTTTTTTTTTTTTTTTACCTTACCCAGAGATATGTTCATTATTGAGGTTAGAATATTTGACCATACTAAAACAATCCATCTAGTCAAATATACATGTACACACTTAATTATTTTGCCTCAATACTGAATTGTTTAAGATATGGTTATTAGTGTTTGTATAGGTTGGTACCGGTTCGTAGAAAAATTGTGAATACTTTGATTGATGCTTTTGGATCCCAATGATGTGGGTTTGCTGTCGTACAAAGAGTAATCAGAAGGCACTATATCTGCGCACTGCAAAAATAATATCTACATCATTACAAGAAGTCCTGAATCAGAATTTTTATGTGTATTTAAGAAAAATTGTGTAAGGTCAAATGATATTAAATTGCTTGTTTTAGGATGTTAATGCTTATTTTATATAATCATAACATAAATTGAGGGATTACTATTTATTTTCTAAAGAACAGTGAACTGATATTCTCACTTAAAATAGTCAAAACACTTTTCTTGGACAAAAGCTAGAAAGAAAGCTTGATATCAAAAATCTATATATACAGTATCTTACCAAATTATCATATCGAAGCAAATTCCAGCTTCTAAATTCAAGTTCTTGTTAATTCATGTAAATATCTTTTTTTGCAGTGTAAGTAATAGTAACAGCGTGTTACCTGGACATCATCAAATCCAATGATTCGTATATGGCCTTAACTGGTTTGAATTTGGTCCAGACGGAGAGAGAGAAGAAATATGCCTGCAGCAAGTAGTAATGTCATGTAATTGTACGGTGACATTTTGGCAGTGCCAGATCCAATCTGTTATCTTTAAGACAAAAAATAGATCTATTTTTGTTTTAAAAGTTGGAGCTTGCATGGGATTGTGGGTGGACTGATTATGTCTAAGTCCATAATACTTACAGACTATTGTACCGTTCTGGAAATGCCCTCTACAGTGATCAAATCAAAGTTCTACAAAAAAACAATCACTGGTTTTGTTGATGGAAATATCAAACATGAATAATTGTACATTCATGTATCTCTCAAGGGATTTTACTGTACAGGCAAGTGGATACAAAATTAAAATACCCTCTGTCTTGATTCAAAGCAACATGTAAACAAAAAAAAAGGCTGTTGTAAACTGTAAACCATCGTTTTAACATATTGCCAATTCCCAAACAAATAACAATGTAAAGTAATGGCTCAATCCCAAAGATGACATTCTAATTCTAAAAACCAACCAACCTCTGCATGTCGAACGATGTAGAAACTTGTAAACACACACAAAAACCCAATCCAGAAAGTTTACCAAAATAAACGTAACAGCCAATTAGTCTGTCTCAGAGTCACTTTTTGAGAGGCTGGTAGACTGAGGCGTTGGGGTCCAGAGAGGAAGAGCTATTGTCCATGAACTTGGAGGAGTAGTGTGGGGTGACCGGGCTCAGGCTGCTGCCGTCTGCCGAGTAGGACAGGCTGGGCATGACGGCCATCACCTCTGCGATCTTCTGCTTCAGCTCTGCAATCTCCTGCTCCCTCTGGTGGATCTGGCCTGAGAACAGAGGAGGGTGTGACTACAGGCAAGACCACGGCTGCAATGGTTTTTGGTCAAATATCAGATTGCAATGTTTCGGACCAATATTGTGACGACATCCTGCATGTTTAACGATCTAGTTTTGCTCAAAGTAAAAATAGCAAATAACATGAAAAAGCGTATGTATTAAGTGATTATCTCAAGACACAATTCCCACAGACTTGAGTTCTAACCTGAAATATAGGTACAAAAAGAATATATAGTACAATATTTTTGAAAACTAAAATATTCACTGCAACGTATATACAAACAAAACATTAGTAGTGTTGAAGCGTTTTTCTCCTTTTCTCACAAAATTCTTGAAGTCAAAATGAATTATGTACATTGTGACAGTTTATATAAATGATGAAACAGATTAGTTATCCTTCACTTTACAGAAATAAATGCTTCTGCCAGACCACAGGAAACACTTCCATTCACAAAATATGCTCAAATCAAGAGACATTTTCAAGTGTTTTTTTCCTATATGTTTTGGCAAAGAATTAATAATTGCACTTTGCGATGCATACATCATAAGTTTGGGTAATTTTTGTTTCATATGAGTAAAAAAATAATAAAAAAATGTATAAGTCAATGCAATGATTGTATTTGAACATTCTGGCTTTGTTGATGTTCTTGGTGTGACCACAGTGAAAAGAGAGCAATCCTATTTTAGGGACAGGAATAGAGAAAAATAAGCTCGCAAATCACAACAATTAACACTAATATTCTTGATTAGGTGCTAATTATTCACATTACTTTAAATGTTATTTTAATTTCAATTTTTTTTATTTATATGACTGACTAATGTTTTAAAACGCAGGATTGACCATTGGGAGATTTTAATTTCAATGCAATTAAAGTACTCTCATTTTCTCTGGTCTGCTATTTTTATGAACGTAAAATCCCAAATCTTTTTGCAATTGCACAGTTTTTAAATATACTGCAAAACTGAATATTAGACAGATCATCAACCCAGCCCTGATCCCTCGACTACCATTACAGCTACTTTCAGGTTTTGTTTAATACTTTGGAATGTTTGTGGAAAGTTGTTGATGTGCTTGTACCTTGTGCTATTTCCAGCTGCCTCTTTGCGTCCCCCAGAGCGGAGAAGAGATCAAGTTTGATCCTGGTTTCTGCGCTCAAGCTGTTTTCCAGGTGCTGGGTCTTCTCTTGCATGGCGGACAGAGCAGACATCAGCACCTCAGTGTCCTTCTCATTCTCCTTATACTTTCTCAGCTCCTATGCGCAGAAAAAAGTTTAAGTACTGGGACCCTAATGAGGACAAGAAGGCAGATTATTCACATTTCACATACACTGTAAAGAATTTCCTTGTAGAAAAACGGTAAATAGCTGGCAAATATGGTTCCAGGAATATAACGTTTTCTCAACATGGCATTACCGTTGCTAATTTTAACGGTTAAAGACTGTTTTACTGAATCACATTATGCCTTGGTGATTTCAGGATTTAACTGTATGTTCCTGTTAATTCACATACAACAAAAACAACATTATAATTCTTTTTGTATTATTACACCATATGACTGTTTCTGTTTCTAATTAGTTTCATTGAACAAAAAACTACACAGTTTAATTTGTTTTACTTTAAATAACCCAACTTTTCAATTATTTTTTAACATCTTCAGTTTATACAAGAACATTGTTGAATTCTTTACTTCTATAACATGCTTAATGCAAAAGCATCATTTTAACTAAAGCAGGAGTTTACATGTATAAGAGGTACCTTTTACATTCATGGTTTCAAAAATTCCAGCATTGTATTTTTTGGAATTCCAGCATTCCAAAAAATACAACAAGTTTATGTTAAATTACGGTAATAATAATAATAATAAAAAGAGACTTTTTTTTATAATCACAATATAATTGTGGTAATAAAACGCCACTAGATGTTTTTTAACCAATTTATACTTACATTTGCATGTTTGAATTGTTTTTCAAAATAACATTTGTTTAATGTTGACATTTCATTGTGATTTTACAGAAATTTGTTACAGTGTACACAATGATTAGATGGTTTGATTGGCTAAGGCTAGAAAACATTAAGGTTAACATTAAGGGTTAGAGTTAGAATTTTTTTTAATAGAAATCGTGGTATTACCAGTATTGCTAAATCCATAAAACATTAGCGAGCAATATTACCATGACATGAAATAGACACAAGTCAATTCATCAAGCGGCTTATTATTCTTATCATCTAACTTTGCATTATTTTGACTTTGTTTGATCATGACTGTTTTTTGTTTATTATGCTGACTGCGCAACATTTTGTAAAGATTGCTTTTGAAAAGTGCTATATAAATAAAGATTTATTTTTAATATTATTAACATTAACAAGTTTTTTTATCAGAAGTCACCAAAGTGTTGAATGAAAACATCTCAATACAGTGGCCCATTGTTTATCAGGGGTTACGCTCTAAAAATAACCTGCAATAGGCAAAATTATAGTCTGGTGCTCAGTGAACTGGATGCAGCTCTGACTGGCGCCCCACCGACCCAGAAATGGATTAAGGGGAAGAAGATGGATGGATGGAGGCAAAGTTACAGCTATGGTTTTACTTAGGCTGTAAAACCCCTCACTGCCCACTATTTACATTGTCTGAACCACCTGAACTCACGACTACTCAAGTGCGATCGTGGAGATAGCAAACATGTTCGTTGTAGGTCTGAGCGCTGCTGCAGCTGTCAAAAGCCGTGCATGAACTTTAAAACACAGTGGACACCGCACTGAGAGGTAGGAGGGAGGTAGAGAGGGCTATGGCAAGACCGCTGTAGTAATCTAAACTGAACTGATCACTGCGGTGCACACAAGCCATGTTTTCTTCTGACTTTAAAAAAGGTAACTGTCATGTTATTCTAGCGGTTATATGATGTTGTATATGATGTTGGAGTTTACAAGTGGGGTAACAGCGAGGCAGCGAAAGGTGAAGCGAAATGGACCACTGTAAATGCATATATTTTTCACATTTCCATCCCAAATGTTCATGAAAGTATTGTACAGACGCTGACATCTCAAATAAAATCATTGTTGTATATTTTCTGCCCTTCACACACAAGAGGCCAGAAGAAACATTATCCTGACCTCACTTTCACCATTTTGACATTTCTCACACAAAAAGGTTGATCAACTGAAAACATTTGATTTATTGCACAGCCCTAATACAAATACTTCTGTGAACGTTTTACTTTAATATACAACCACAACAAACGAAAGGTAGATTTCTGTGTGTAAAAGGGACAGAAATGTGAAATTTCAATTGAATGACCGACTGCAAAATTGTCCAGTTGTGTCGGTATAATTTTGGGTGAATGGATCCATTGGCCATTCATCTTCTCTCCACAAACTGTTCCAAACAAGAGCATTTTTGTGGTGTATGGTGTATGATGTGTGTACTTGTCCCACCTGACATTTGCCCTCCAGATCCCGAATCTGCTCCTCCTTCACTTTCATGTCGATGCTGAGCTTCTTACACTCTGTCTCCAAATCTCTGATGCGACCACGGAGAGTGTCAGTGGACTCCACCCTGTCGGTCAGACAAGACAAATGCACAAGAGATAAGACAATAGAATCACATACATTATCATTGAAGCCAGGCTCTGGGGTCTATATAAAGCTAAACATCTCACAGGCAGCCGTTGGAGATGGTACATTAAAACATTACTATTCTACTAAATGTTCCCACCTTGTGGTTTTTGGAAATACTAAAGGATCTGGTAATAATAATAATAATAAATTACCTGGTGGCAGCTGCTAACGCCACAGCTCGTGCTGCTGTAGCCTCCTCCATCTTCTTCCTCTTCCTCTCCTCAGCCAGCTGTTTCTCCACCAGGGCACGCGCCTCCTGCTCAGCCTTCAGCCTCTTCTCCAGCTGGGAGATGGTCTGCTTGTCCTTCTGCTTGGCCTGGACAGCGCTGTGCAGTCTGAGAGGTGAAAGAACATCTCAACATTTTGTATTTTGTGACACTTTTTCCTATATCAAGACGAGTTGTATACGTCTTGATGAATGACGTAACTTATGCAGATTTCAGTAGCGAGAGATATAGTTGTTATTAGAATTATTTAATTACGTATTTATTACTCACTTTGTTTTTTTCTCATGTGTTGCTGTTGTGGGAACCAAACACATAAGTGTTGCATTATATAATAACACATCTGCTGTGTTTGTGTTCATGGGTGTAAACAAACAGGCAGTGCACAGGTGGAGTGGCTAATATATCATCACACTGCACCTAATAAGCAGTTCAAACAATAACCAGTGTATCTTACATCTATGAGAAACAGAGTATGTAAACTAAGTATTTATTTAATGTCATCTCCTCTCTCCAAAGATTATTTCTCTAGATGTCTGGATGCACAAGGAGCATCACAGGAGCCTAATTAGGTGTGAAAGAGGGACTCTTTATGTTGTTGTGGGGCTTCTTGTATTTCAGCATTAAAACCACATAGTTAAATAGCAAAAATCTCTAGTCGGAAAAATGATATTCCTCTAGTTCTAGAATCTTCAACATTTTGCGTTATTGGCAGTACATTTGATCCTTTATTTGTTCCAAAGTAGGGAAATTTCAGTGTTGCATCACAAGTTACAGAACAGTAGGAAAGAGGAGCACACAGCACAAGATAAGTGATCAATAGCTATACTAATTAAAATAAAACAAAAACTATGACTTTAGCACCAAAGTGTAAAAGGATTTTCAAAAATATACTTGGTAAAAGGCAAAATGTAAGCCTTTCAAATATTTTTTGTAATGGCACCTGCTTTATCTCCACTTAAAACAGTTATTTTTGTGTGCAGGATTTGGGTAATTTCATCAACTTGTGTCCCTGTATCCACGCTAAACAGAATCCTCCCGTGGATCCAGGTTTCCACACGAGCATGTAGACCTATTGCCTCAACCCCTGCCCCTCGTACACCACTCACTTATTTTGAAGGAGCTCATTGTCCTGACGCAGTTGACTCAGTTCCGAGCGTAGACTGCGGTCCTGGCTGCTCAGAGAAGACAGCTGACTGCGTAGCTCCGCCTCCAGCTGCCGATTGGCCTGGAGATCTGCCTTTAAACGCTTCACATCCTGCTCCAACCTAAAATCACATATCCTCAGTCAGTATCAATGTAACCCACACGTTTTTTGATCCTGAAAAAAACAGTCTTTCCTACCGTACTAGGGCGTCCGGCTTGCCCAGTTGGTTATTGGGGATGCAGTTCTCCACAGGATCCTTCTGACCTTTCCCAGCCCCTTTCTGTTTCTTCTCGTTCTTATTGGCAACAGGTCCTCCTTGTGGGACGCTCCCGTTTGAGGAACTGTGATTTCTTGGAGGGGAGTTGGAAATCCCGCCCCCACCTCCGCTGGCGTTTTTGTAGTTCTTCCCCGTGCCCCCCATATCCTCCTTTGAGTGTGTTGTGGTTGTAGTGCTGTCTGTGAGTGTGTTTTCTGTCAGGTCGTTGTTCAGTTTTTTTGACCCAACGTAGTTTTCAATGTACTCTGCCTCCTGCAGTTTGGAGTCCAGTGAGTGAACGATGCTGTTGTTATTGATACCTACGGTGTTCTGTTTCTTGTTGTCTTTTGAACTGTCCTTGCCCTTTTCTTTATATTCCAGTTCCGGTAATGTCGTCAAAGTGCTTTTCTTCCCGGGAGGTCCTCCGTTTTGTGATATGACGACGGGTTCCACCTCTGTGATGCCTTTGTTTAGTACTGAAAAGCACAACGCAATTTGGTTACATTTCTTTGGGCTGTAACAAGTCAACCCATTATTGAAATTATTTATTAATACATTCATGTTGTTTTAACGTTCCATACACTTAAAACATGCTGAGGAGAGGTTTTATAACTCAGATAATTCTATAATGACCCCAGAATTAAATGAAAATATGTTTATAAAGTATTTCTAATCAAACCCAATAGGTAACAAGTCGTCTCTATGAAGGTGTTCGACAGGGGAATCACTGGAGCTTTGTTTTGGTCCAACAAAGGTAACTGTTATCGCTATGTTTATCTTTTATGCAATCTTGTTTTATTGTCTTGTCCTGCACTTTGGGATTTGGAGTGAAAAGTGCATTGTAAATAAAATGTATTATTATTAAATGTATGCAAAATCCCATATGCACTGACCTTGATGAAAATAATTGTTAACTAGAGCCCTATTCTATACATACAGTAATTTAAGAATGTGCTTGGAGAGTGACAGGGATGCTAGTGTTAAGAGTTTAAAAAGCTGAGAAAATACCAGGGCTGTAACATGTCCGGCCAATCGAATAGTTGATTAAAAAGGAGGTGTTTGAAAATAGTGGATTTTTGCTATTTTCTCAGAGAAATGCTAGTAATTTAAATTAAATTAGAAATGACAAAGCAATCACCCACCGACTAAACAACTAAAGAAAATGACAACAATAATATAATCTGGGATTGTATTCAACATTCTTGGCTAAGTATTCCTTGTACAATGATAACAGTTGTTGACTTTAGGTGGGCCTGGGTAGGTGCTATGATGATGTATGCAGATACTTACGTACAGCATGTTATAGGACAAAAAAAAAGAATCATAGAAAAAGACAATATACCATTGTTGTCCACTTTCAGCTGCCCTTATGAAAATGTTTTGTGCTTGGAACACTTCAGTAAGAGCAAATAAAGAGTTCTGGCTTAGATTCTAGAAGCAGTGAATAACATACCTTCATCTGTCTCTCTGTCTTGTCTCTGTGGCATCTGCTGCTCTGGCGGTAATGCCTGTTGTAATAGCTGCATGTAAAACTCATTCTCTTTTTGCACCTCTTTCTGTTTCCTCAAGCGCATCTTGTAGCTTACATAGCTCTTGAAGCCGAAGCCAAGGGTCACAACTGGATAGCCAATGCTGTGAAGACAATATAAACAAACACATTTCAATGCATTACTATCCAATCTCACATTTCTCACAGTAAAGGGCAAAAGCTTTTATCATCCTTCTTATAGATGGAAATAAAAACCTACCAATGCGCTGCGAAAGGCCGACATAAGTCCACATGAAAGTTCTTCAGATCTTTAAAACGAATAGCAGCCTCAATGTACACAAACAAGATCCAAAGGGATACAGTAGGTAAACAGACTCCTCTTTCTATAAAAGACACATAGATACAAATGATTGATGTATATTGAAATTACAAAGCAAAGAGGAACTGTGAGAGAATAAACAAACCTGTGTGCCACACATATTGGACCCATACGTAAGTGCTGGCAGCAAAAAACAACCACTGGACGGGTATAAAGAGGAGGCAGATGATGTCTGAGGTGAAAGCCACACAGACAAAGAACACTGAGAATGCCTACAAAGATAATACAAGAGAACAAATCTTGAATGCATGTATTAGCCAATTTTGACATTAGAATAAACATAACATGAGGTGCTACTTACCAGCCCCTGGTATCTAAAGGAGTCGTAGACACTTCTGATGAACAGCCAGAAAGGCCACAGATATTCAAACCGGAACTCGAGCACAAAGTCGGCCAGCAGAACCAGAACCCACACAACCAGGAACTTCAAGTACAAAAAAGTACTGTAAAAGAAACAAGAACACAGATCAAATTATGTTTACAGGCTTTATGAAAGATATACAAATATCATAATACAATTGTATACAATGGTATAAATAGTATGGTGAAGTTGCATGTATGAGAAAAATACATGAGAAAAAAGGACGAGATGTACATATGGGCTACTATGGAGACGCATGCTAACAAAGGGAATAGCGGAGCAGGGAACATGTCTGTACATGCACACATGAAGAACACATCTGCTTTTGCATGTCTGTCAACACACAAGAAAGAAAACCAAAGAATCAGGTCATATTTTATTAAACAAAACCCCTACGTAGTGAGTTACCTCAATAAATGGGGGTGCGTATTATAATAATTTTCAATTGATAAATGTTTGACCAATGCCAATCCAGACAAAGCACAGGTGCGCGCGTCTGAAGTGTCAACGCCAGACAACAAAACGAGCGCCTCTGTCACTGATGCTGTCATTTTGTACTAAGAAAAATATCATTTGCACAAACACAGCACAATAAACAATTTACAACGTGGAAAAAAATGCATTTCAATGTCATGCTATCACATTTTCCTATTTCAACATAATTGGCTCTAGCGGGAGAGAAAGAGAAAGAGAGAAAAAAATCACGCATAGACCTGCTGCCAGTATAGCAGGCCTGTCTTTGTACCAATATTATTACATGCTTACTTCCTTCTTTCATTGGCAGAAATCAGCTCGGATCGAAAAATGCATGAAGCAGAGGGAGAGAACGCTGTCTGGAAACAATCAGAGAGACGCCATTGTCACACAGCCCCTTTTCCGTACCTGCTATATATACCCTCGGTGATTCGGTTCCGTTTTATCGGCCGTCGGAGTTTGCTGCAGTCCGCATTGCGCCGCTTCATCCTCCCCCTGCTGATTTGGATGTGATTTAGGTCCGGGTTCGGTGGCAGAAGGCGTCATTCGTCCATTCTACAGTCCACACTTGTTCAATTATCCACCATTGTTGATGTTTTATGCACATGAAACAAAGAAATAAATAAAAACAGACCGCGCAAGGCCCTCCCCCTTTCACGACAACCTACGTCGCCTCTTACGCGCTGACGTCACCACGCCTCCTCTTGAGGGCGGGGAGGATAAACCAAGATGGCGGCCTCCGTGGTGGTGAGAAGCGAGGCATTTCTGCGGCTGTAGCTGTTCCAACTCAACTATGGTAGGCACACGATTAGTTTCTGCTCTTTTACCGTATATTTGTATAGAATTTGTTATGTTGTTTGTACGTTCATGTGTTGGTTGGTTTGCATCGGAAGACAACATTTTAAAGTTTTTTTTTAGTAATCGCTCAACCACGTTTGTTTTGGGTTCTAGTTTTGTCATTTGCCTTGTGTGAATAAAGTTTATGGATGTTACCCGTGTCTTTAACTTGGTGGCAATTCGTATTACAGTGGACATGGTGTCTAAAATCAGGTTGTTAAAATTAATGTTTTTTTTTCATCTATGGCCTGCATGCCCTCTGACACGTGAGTTGGTCTATGTCTGAAACGTCATTTGTAGTTATAGTATATTTGTAGTTATCCGTTACTACTCTTTCTTGAACAGTAAGCTAAGTTGTAACGATCTCCCCTCGACTGCAGCTTTTTATGAATCAATTTTGCTATTTTCTATTATGCTATTCTATTTTTACCTTCTATTGCTTAACTATCTTTGTACACCATTATCTGCATTTATTGTGTATATATAAAGAAGAAAACGACTAATATTCAAACAAACTTGAAATAATCTTCACAGCTGTGTCAGAAACTGGCGTGTCTGTGTAAAAAAAAATCTGGATTTTTTATTGTGCCATTGATGTGCTACAATTTATTTATTGGGAATCGTAATACATTTTTTCTTCAGATTTAATTTCCTTACTGTGGGATAAATACAGGTTTTGTTGTCTTTTCTGTCCTCAAGTTAATGAACTTGTCTTGTTTTGTCCTTACAGATGACTATGGAGCTTCTTGAGAAAAATACAGGGATGGAGAATGAAACCGAGAGTGCCAATGTTGAGAATGGCAGCAATACTGAAGAAAAACTAAATACTGCAGCTGAAAAAGAACAGGAAGCCCAAGACGGCAAACAAGAACCACCCAATCCAGATTTGCCTGCGCTAGTTGATCTCCAGTGTGAGGGTCCACTGCCTGCACATGTTGAAGACGACCAACCGGAAGCTTTAAAGCCTGCACATGTTGAAGACGACCAGTGTGAAGCGCCGCAGCCTGTGCTTGCAAAACAAGAGCCTGTTCTCAACCTCAACAATGAAGTTGTTCGGATGAGGAAAGAGGTGAAGAGGGTGCGTACCCTGATTATTAGGAAACTGACCAGACAAATTGGGGCACTGAAGAAGAAGAAAGGCAAAGATGCTGATCTTGAGCGAAATAAAAGACGGGCATCTAGACTGCTGGAAGAGATTCACGCTATCAAGACCCTTGTTCCAGATTTGGTATGTCTTTTTAAAAAAAAATATATAAGGCACACCTGTGTAAATTCCCAAATTTGAGAATTAAGTGGGTGTCCACATTTAGGCTGCACTTGAATATGCAGCGGTTCATGTTGTAATGTAGCAGATTGACTGTTTTAACTGGTCACATGATTTAATGAGGTGTTTAACAACTTAAACATTGGCTTCCATTTCTATAATTTACCAGTCCATTTCTGACAATAAACGAGTGTCCAATACTAAGATAATTAGTCCATGAAATGTGCTCTGACACTACCACAACAAAAATACACATATTAGCTACATAGCTATATAAGCTGCAGGGTTTTGAAAAACTAGATGAAAGTACTGAGATTACTTGGACTATCAAGTGTACCCGCTTATAAAATGTACCAGATACATTTGAAAATAAAGTCAATGCTGTCCACATTTAGGTCGCACTTGAATATAAGTTGCCTTTTTCGACTCTTAGTGCAAACAACATGATGGCTAACTAGCAATGCACAGCCTGAGGTAAACTTTTCAAAGGAAAAATAATGTATCTACCTTTTCAAAGTGCAATCACTTTACAATCATATTAACCAAAGTTTTTTCATGGGTGAATATAAGTTAAGAAGCATTTTTTGTAAATGATCATTATAAAAGCCATTGCAGTATAATCTTTTATATTCTGTATATGTTCTGTGTTGTAGGTCACCAAGACGGCATTGCAGAAGACACTCAATTTCGAACAGGCGTGTAAAGACCCCAAATCGACTATTTCTGATCGGGCTATGGCACGTATTGGCACCCACCCCCAGTTCAGCAAGAAGATTGAAGCAATCAAAGCAGCTGTGAAAGCTTTCAAAGAGGAGAGGACCGATGAATTGAAGTCTGGGTTAAAGGTTCCAAAACGAGTGGACAAGGCTAAAAAACCGCCACTCTCTAGCAATCCAGACAAAGAATCACATGTAGTGGACAAAAATGTGGCACTAATTCAAAGTAAAAGTTGTGAGATGAACATTAAAACGGCTTGCCATGATGAGCCTGGTCCTGGTTTCCCAAAAGTAAAAGTGCAACAAAAGGTTAACCTGAAAAAAACCCAGACTGAGAATACAAACAATAAGCCAAGCTCTGTGAAGAATGTTTTCAAGTATAAACAAGTTGACTTGTCTGTAGAAAGTAAGGATACCAAAGTACCCCCCAAAGCAACCTTGGAGGCAGAGAGTGATGTGGCATTATCAGAAAGTGATGAAAAGGAATACTTTGACGACAGCACAGAAGAACGTTTTCTCAAGCAGTCGTCAGGGGATTCAGAGGAGAGTGACAACGATTTCTTTGTGGGAAAAGTTAACAGATTCAAGAAAAATAAGAGAACAAAACCTATTGAGGATAAGACCGTTCACAAGACTCTTGGAAATGATTCGAATCCTCTCCCAAATAGCAAAGTGCAGAGTGAACTTGATGAGCTTGAGTCCAGGTTGAAATCCAAACCGACTATGAAGTCAGTTTTTTGTTCATCCCTGTCTGGTCCAAAGACTGGTAAAGGGGCAGGAAAAGGTGACAGAAAATTCCCGGGCCAAGACAGACGGAAAGACGGCGCAAATAGAGATTTCAGTAAACAGACTAAAGAGAAACCAGAGCGCTCAGACTTTAAGCATAGGAACCCATACTCTGGAGAGAAAACGTTTGGAAAAAAATCTGCACAGTTTGGAGGGAGAGGAGGGCAAAGGGAGGTAGAACACAAAAGGCCAAAAGATGCAAGAGGTGGAAGTATGTTTACCCATCAGGCACCACAGCAAGCTCTGCATCCATCTTGGGAGGCGAGCAAGAAAAGAAAGGAACAACAAGGACAAATACTTGCTTTCCAAGGGAAGAAGATAAAATTTGATGACTAATATATTTTTTATTTGTATATTGTTAATCACAGAAACAATCCATTCATGTTATAACTCATTTATTTAAACTTGAGTCAATCATATTAATTTTGTCTTCAAATGGTGTTTCATGCTGTTGTAGGTGTTTATAATTAATGTTTAAGGTTTCATTAAAACACATTCCTGGAACTGTTTGGTTTTTCACATAAAATTCACGCCTAGCAATCCACTGCTCAATTGGTGCAAGTAATAGCTGAATAGTTGAAGTCTATATGAAATAACAGTAAAACAGCTGTTATAATTTATCCCAGAAAGAATGTCTAAAATGTTTGTTCAAAGTCTTTTCAAATCGTACAGCCAAAGTATTCTCACTGAGCAGCACCTTCTGGCCCTGAGCACAAGCCTATTTCTAGAATCTGGTTAGGTTTGAGTTGTTTGGCTGTCTGTGGTACAGATATTATATCCATGGGTACAGTCTATTGTAGAGATTCGTGGACCAATCAGCTGGCAGCTCACTGACATGTGGCAAACAGTTTTGGTCATAACTTATAATTTCAGAATTTAATGATAATGCATAGCTTCTCATACAAATAAGTACTGTTGTTCCTTTAGTGTAAATATATTTAAATACACTTGACTAAGAGTTTCGTCATGGCCATACATACAGTCTAGTATGGGCCACACACACTCCCATATCTGACGGTTGAACACCGAGGTGAAGTTGGCCGAACGTTTGATATTCGCAAGGGACCGTCTGCAAATTGCAAGAGGTCAAAACGACTAATAAAGACTTTGATGGGTGTAGTAGCTCCCATTTAATGATAGCTAGCTACTACAGCATAACTTTTGGGAAAAATATTGTTTTCCTCTTCACAGTAACGAAAATGAAATTGGAAAAAATCACTAACAATCAACAAAAACTTTTTTCCCAGATTTGATGGGTGTAGTAGCTCCCATTCAATGATAGCTAGCTACTACAGCCAAACTTTTGGGAAAAATATTGTTTTCCCCTTCACAGTAACAAAAATGAAATTGGAAAAATTCACTAAAAATCATCAAAGACATTTTTCAAGGTTTTGATGGTTGTAGTAGCTCCAATTGAATAGTAGCTAGCTACTACAGGCAAGAATTTGGAAATATATATATACAGTGGGGCAAAAAAGTATTTAGTCAGCCACTGATTGTGCAAGTTCTCCCACTTAAAATAATGACAGAGGTCTGTAATTTTCATCATAGGTACACTTCAACTGTGAGAGACAGAATGTAAAAAGAAATCCAGGAATTCACATTGTAGGATTTTTAAAGAATTTATTTGTAAATTATGGTGGAAAATAAGTATTTGGTCCTTTCAAACAAGGACGATCTCTGGCTCTCACAGACCTGTAACTTCTTCTTTAAGAAGCTCTTCTGTCCTCCACTCGTTACCTGTTTTAATGGCACCTTTTTGAACTCGTTATCTGTATAAAAGACACCTGTCCACAGCCTCAAACAGTCAGACTCCAAACTCCACTATGGCCAAGACCAAAGAGCTGCCGAAGGACACCAGGAAAAGAATTGTAGACCTGCACCAGACTGGGAAGAGTGAATCTACAATAGGCAAGCAGCTTGGTGTGAAAAAATCAACTGTGGAAGCAATTATCAGAAAATGGAAGACATACAAGACCACTGATAATCTCCCTCGATCTGGGGCTCCACGCAAGATCTCATCCCGTGGGGTCAAAATTATCATGAGAACGGTGATCAAAAATCCCAGAACCACGCGGGGGGACCTGGTGAGAGCTGGGACCAAAGTAACAAAGGTTACCATCAGTAACACACTACGACGACAGGGAATCAAATCCTGCAGTGCCAGACGTGTCCCCTGCTGAAGCCAGTGCATGTTCAGGCCCGTCTGAAGTTTGCCAGAGAGCACATGGATGATACAGCAGAGGATTGGGAGAATGTCATGTGGTCAGATGAAACCAAAGTAGAACTGTTTGGTATAAACTCGTCGTGTTTGGATACTGAGTTGCATCCCGAGAACACCATACCTACAGTGAAGCATGGGGGTGGAAACGTCATGCTTTGGGGCTGTTTTTCTGCTAAGGGGACAGGACGACTGGTCTGTGTTAAGGAAATAATGAATGGGGCCATGTATTGTGAGATTTTGAGCCAAAACCTCCTTCCATCAGTGAGAGCTTTGAAGATGAAACGTGGCAGGGTCTTCCAGCATGACAATGATCCCAAACACACCGCCCGGGCAACAAAGTAGTGGCTCCGTAAGAAGCATTTGAAAGTCCTGGAGTGGCCTAGCCAGTCTCCAGACCTCAACCCCATTGAAAATCTGTGGAGGGAGTTTGGCCAAAATACCAGCTACTGTGTGTGCAAACCTGATAAAGACCTATAGTAATCGTTTGAACTCTGTTATTGCCAACAAAGGTTATATACAAGGTATTGAGTTGAATTTTTGTTATTGACCAAATACTTATTTTCCATCATAATTTACAAATAAATTCTTTAAGAATGTCAATTCCTGGATTTTCTTTCCACATTATGTCTCTCACAGTTTAAATGTACCTATGATGAAAATGACAGACCTCTGTCATTATTTTAAGTAGGAGAACTTGCACAATCGGTGGCTGACTGAATACTTTTTTGCCCCACTGTGTATATATATATTTCCAAATTCTTGCCTGTAGTAAATAGCTACTGTTCAATTGGGAGCTACTACACCCATCAAAACTGGGAAAAACATCTTTGTTGATTTTTAGTTAACTTTTCCAATTTCATTTTTGTTACTGTGAAGGGGAAAACAATATTTTTCCCAAATTCTTGCCTGTAGTAGCTAGCTATCATTTATTGGGAGCTACTACACCCATCAAAACTGGGAAAACTGTCTTTGTTAATTTTTAGTGAATTTTTCCAATTTCATTTTCGTTACTGTGAAGGGGAAAACAATATTTTTCCCAAATTCTTGCCTGTAGTAGCTAGCTATGGTTCAAATGGAGCTACTACACCCATGAAAACTGGGAAAAATATCGTTGTTGATTTTTAGCGAATTTTTCCAATTTTATTTTTTCTACTTTGAAGGGGAAAACAATATTTTTCCCAACATTTTGGCTGTAGTAGCTAGCTATCATTCAGTGGGAGCTACTGGGAAAATTTACTTTTTAAACACTTATTGTATTCACCAACCCATCTGCAACGTTCTGTCAAATCTTGCACTTTGCAGACAGTCCCTAGTTGAGAGCTTAGCACACGTATGAGCGGAGACTTCATCTTCATTGTTTTTCGTGTTATAAATCGTCAGCTGCAGCCTAAAAGTCAAGTTTTTTTTGATAGGTGGCAACATTGTGAACAGTATTTAATACTACACTCTTCACTAAACTGAAAATACGGACAGACTTTGAATCCAGGGGGATTTTGTTCGAATATCAGGCGAATATCAAACGTTCGGCTAACTTTACCTCGGTCTGTTGAACTCACAGGATGCTGGATTTGGCCGTTTCACCAAACAGCCTACATGGTGATGTCGTGCAGTGCGCTTGGCTGCAACAATACAGTCTATGGCTGCAACAAGGGTATAAGGCAAAAGTGTCATATCTAATACATGCTGGGGATAAAGGCAGAAGACGATGATGGTTCACGGCAATCAATCGAAAGTAATCGAAGGTTAATCAAAGACGGTTTGTATTCGTGTTATTTTCATTAGTTTATTTGGATGACACAAAAAACACATTGCTGTAGCTAACACGTAAAATAAAAGACCGAAACTTTTAAAAGAGAGGCTTAATCCATTTGGCCCCACGATAAACCCAGTTGTGTTTATCACACTTTTCAACCTTAAATCTTTTTTTTTTTTTTTTTTTTTTTTTTTACAAATGTCATATTTGTTCTCGATGATATCTTGGTACTAGTAAATGAAGTGTGGCTCAAGAAAAAGCATCAGTGTTTTAGACAGTCCTTTAAACATTGCATGGCAGTTAATGACATTTTTGAAATATTCATGTACAAACCTAGAGATGTTTAGGCTAAATTCCACAGATGTCAGATGAGCAGACTTCATGGATCAATATTTACAGTCTATGAGTCTAGACCTAGATAGGTTATTATAATAGGTCCATGGACAGGTGACTGGACATCTCTTTGGGGGCGGGATCGTGCACGTGACGAAGTGACGAGTGTTTGGTGTTTGTAGCATTGCTAGCAATGCTAATGCTAGCCCAGCGTGGGTACAGCTCGATCATAGCTCTGCAATGGAGCCGAACCATGAGCCGAACACACCGCAGACTGCACCTCTGGACAGTGTTGAGATGTTTTGCGTTGTAGGCGGATGCTCGAGTAATGGCGTTAACACAGAGAACGTCAGCTTTCACCCATTTCCTCAAACACCGGTGGTTTTTCAGCTGTGGCTCGCTGCTTTAGGAATAAGTGAGCCTCCGTACTCTTCTAGGGCAGCTGTGTGTAGCATGCACTTTAGAGAAGATGACTACATTAAAGAAGAATATGCTCTCTATGAATCGCGTGTGGCTTTGAAGCCCGACGCTGTGCCGTCTATATTCTCTCTGCGTAATCGCCTGGTAATTCTCAATTACACAATCTAATTCTATGTACTGGAAGGTTTTGTGCTGTGCGTATAACACAGGCTATTTCAAATAGAGAAAGGAACAAGAAGGACAAACAACTTCACCAAAAGAGGAAGATGATGTTGGTATGATATCTTTAAGTGTTAAGTGTCATTCAGATCAATCAATCACATGTATTTTTAGCAAACTTGTGTACACATTTACAAAAAACACGTAAAGGATACACTATAAATCGAATCTTTTTAAAGATTAAATATGGCCTTTTTAAGTGTTCTGCAGCATTGTACACTACATGTTGGATGAATCTATCCAATGATGATTAAAACACATAGTCTCAAAAAAGGAAAACTTTCATTGTGACCTTTTTCAGTAAACGGCCACTATATTGCCCATAATCCTATTTTTGAAGAATTCATTGAAGAGTCAATCTTTTAATTATGTCTTTCTTTGTTTTAGTGCTTAGCAGACCACGTGATCTCGGATCTCTTGGAAAGATAACTGCAGAGTTTACGAAACTCCTACAATCTAGCTCCGACGGAGTGGTGGATCTCAATGAAGCTGCCATGAAACTCAATATTAGAAAAAGGAGAATCTATGACATCACAAATGCCTTGGAGGGTATCAATGTCATAAAAAAGACATCCAAAAATGTGGTTACGTGGATGTAAGTGTTTCACTGGTTAATAGCAATGGTGTCTCTAAATATACTTGACTTTTTTCTTTTTTGCAGGGGTTGGCCTCCAGCATTCATGGAGGATAGTCTGAAACTTCTCGATCATAAGGAGAAAAGACTGGATGACTTGTTAAGAGTCACTAAACGACAAATTAAAGAATTATATGAAGCTATTCTATATACTAGATATCCTTTTTGGAAGACATTTCGTTTTACTTTAAATATAATGTAAACAACTCTTGAAGCTATTTTCATTGACTTTTTCAATCACATTTGCCTATTTGACCTATGAGGATATCCAAAGCCTACCAATGTTTGAGGACCAGGCTATATTGGTGATCAAAGCTGCATCTGAAACAAAGCTGGAGGTGGCCCACCCGAAAGAGGTTCCTAAAGTCAGAGAACAAAATGTACTCCAGTCCTTTAAGATGGATAACGTGGTCTTTTGTGCATTCTTTTACTGCCAGTGTTACCAGATTCACGTTAAAAGTGAAACTCGCCCAGTGGAAGTTCTGGTCTGCACTGATATTTTGGATGTCTCGCCAAACCAACGCCTAAGACCCACATTTGATGATGGGGACTACTCCAGAGTTCCACTGCGACGCCTATCCACTGTTCCGGTACCTTCCACAGGTATGTTTTCCACTCATGGCTTACAGAGGCTTTGCGTTTTGTAGAGAACTTAAAGTTGATTCTCAATGTGACCTATTGAGGATATGCGTAAACCATTGTTAGTAACTCTTCTTGTAAGTGTACAGATAAGGGGTGTGCTCACAAAGTTTTAATATTTAGCAACATATTGACATTTTTAAATTGGATACAATAGTTATAATTTTAAAATTACACAATATACATATTTTGTGTATGTATATGTATATTTTTTTCTGAAAAATAATATTACTTCGAAGTAGGCATGCACAGATAGTGAATGTTTTTGGCCCTATACCGAGGCCATTGATGTTTAACATAACAACCTGGCCAATGTTTTTTCTTTTTTAATTTTTATTTGCCGATGGTAGTTAACAAGGCAAACATCAGCAAACATCCAAGTGATAGCCCTACATGCGTATTGTGACGTGCATATCAACATGAACAAGGTGCCTAGTCCTTGTCCAATGCATTAACAGACATTTGACTCATTTGCCATATGGCCCAGCCCTACCATTAACATTTTTGAAGAGCCTTCCTCATTCTTCATCATTTGTTTGAACACCTAATTTTATAAGCATGTGGACAACATTGCTGCTCTATAATATGTTAAGACAGGATTTTATTTTCCTCTTACCTTTTGTTTTGTAGATAATGCCTATCACAACAATGTCAATGCTACCTCCAACTCTCCATCGGCGCCGTCACAGCACATTATGCAGCCCACGTCCCCCAAACCCTCTTCTTCAATTCCACTTGTCGAGCCCCAGTTGAACTATTCTCCCCCCTGCCCCCTTACCACCATCTCTATAAAGGAGGAAACTATCAGTGTAGATATAACCCCAGACGAGCCCCTGAATGCTCCTGTGGAGAGACTCGAACAGCCGAACACAGATATCCACATGGCAGATGTATGATAGACTTTGGGAGAAATGATGACATTATGATTGTGGCTGATTTTATGTTCTTGACTCCACACCTACAATACATATGGCGGCTCTATTATTACGGTATAAGAATGATCTGTTTTAGGGCAAAGTGGTTCATTGCTGTTGCAGGGAATGATTGACACATGCAAATAAATACATGCACATACATACCTCTTGTTCATTCATTTTTTGATGGTCATCTTTGGATGGCGTTTATTGTAAAAGGAATAAATCTAACTACACCATAACAGTTGACCAATTTTTGAATGAGCTGGGTGATTTTAGATTGGGACCAAATAAGATAATCAGATCATATTCACTTCAGCACAACATTTTGTCGTATTCCTCAAGAATAATCTTTTTGGAGTACATTTCAACTTTATTAGAATGAGATTCACCAGAGGAACAAGCATAAAATGTCTTGTTTAACCACAAAATGTTGATTCAAAATGTATGAATCCTGCTTCAGTAAGACCTTGAAACGTATTTATTTTGCTCACATCTAAAATATATAAAGCATTGTTAACTTAGTATTAAGTCACCCCTAAGCACATGTTTTTCAGTTCATTGCTCATTTTCCATTACAGACTTGTGAGGTCCTTTGTTGTATTATGAAAATATGGACTTCTGAGCCGTTTTAATCTTCCTCTAATAATCTTTTAGTTTTCTGAAAATTAGTTTGCCCCCAACTCACTAAGCACAAGGACTACTCAGGGTTATTTTTGTAACAACATTAGGTCACCTGTTTTTTGCGATCTGCGGAGATAATGAATGTGCTGTATGAGCAAAAACCTATTACCCACTATTGTTTATTTATCATTCATCCTCAATCTCTAAATCAAGGCACTCTACTTTACAACTCAGATTCTCCAGCACAAAGAACATTTGCCTTCATGCAGTTCACTTACTGACACCAGGAGGCAGTGTGATACCACAGAATGGCCTCACCTACACTACGTTTTGACCCAAAAAAACACACACAAAAACAAACCATTTTAATGGATTAACTTTTAACTCTTGTAGTATCGGCTATAACTCCAAGAAGTAAAGCATTTGAACAATTATTTTAGTACATATATATACAACTACTGTAGCTGAAATACTGTTCTCTTGTCCTTATAGGCTAAAGTGCAAGTTATATAAAGAGTATTTGACAGATTTACAACATATGTGATTTCATGGACTAGTGATTAGCTAATAAGTGCTTATGGAAGTGTGCGTCCATATGGCATTTATTGTCAGACTGCATTTGATTCAAATGAGATCTGCCAAGTTTGGAGAAAACACACCAGATGTTTACCATATGCAAAGATTTCCACATGGTGAGTTTATATTTTTCCATTAAACGCAAATAATAAAACTTACTACCATTCTAACTCCTTTCTCTCCTCTCTTTGTCTGAGCATCTTCAAAAACACTCCACTGGCTTCAAATATGATGATGTAATCCACCGCCAGCCCGTCGTTCCCTGACCCGACCATAGATGGCAGTGTTGCCCCTTGGAAAATCAGCGTTTAAACCCAGTCAACCCACTTCCCCACAAACAGTAAGTGCGCTCTGTGAGTTCACTGACAGTCACTGGATCACTGCTGCTATTGATTCATTTGTCTATGCTGTTGTTTTTTGTGCCCTTCTTGTGCGCTAGAAAAGATTTGAGAAAGGGAGAAAAGGCAAAACACTGAAGCATATTGAATGAGAAGGCGTGACGTCAGTTCACCGCTGTCTCGTGGGACAAAACTTTTAACACCAGTCAATCTCGCTGTCTATCAAGCAATCAATTAGTCAATGCAGTTTCATTTTTGGAGTGCTTTTCTTTGTCACCTGCAGTAGAAGTGACGCACCATACTTGTTGAAGTAGATTCTATGTACATACCGACCCTAGGTTTGAAGGGCCCAATGCAGAACTCACTCAAAAGCGATGCACGAGATGTTTAGAGGCTGCTTCAAGAGTACTTAAGAATGTTTTCCGATGGCCTTGTGCCTCTTGAATATTAACACTCGGTCGTATATGCACACTTTTCTGGTTGTTTTGACTGCCATAATGCGCTGCTGAAGCACGGAGCGAGCCTAGAAATTACAAGCTTTTTCGGAGAGTGAGGCAGGAGGAGAGAAAGGGAGAGGAGAGAAAAAGGGTGCGTCTACTACTCCAATCTGACTGGCTACTGCCTGGCACGCCGCCTTTTCGCGTGGGGCACTTTCCAGCCAATCGGCGGCCTTCGTCATATTTTTGGGTTTATGAATGGAGCGAGAGAGAGGAAAGGGGTAGCGAGTAGTTTGAAATTCATCACAGGAGCACAGTGGAAAGGATAGGTGCCACGCTTGGTCTGCCGTGCGAGGCCTCGAGATGTTTGCTAACCGATCAACAGATGACACAAGTACAACTGCAAATTATAGAAACAGGGCGGCAAACATTTACCTGTCGTGCGTATCCAGGAGACGTGGCTAAGCACTGTTTATGCTTGTACAAGCTCGAGCAGATGCCTTCCAGAAAATAGCATTTACAGAGGAAAACGGATAACAAAATACTTTATGGGCCAGTCCTGTAATTGAAAGTCTGTGCTTTTAGTGGAGTTCTTTTCAGGTCAGAAAACAGGCATGATGGGAACATGATGTCACTGTAAAGACTTGTTTGAACTATCTTTAAGGATGCAACACAGAACTGTGGAATTGTAGAATTAGTCATGTTTCTCTTGTCAGTCCTGTTCTAATTACCACTTGCCTTATCTTCAGTTTAGCCGTGCTTAGATTTGTCTGGGTGATTCATAACCTTGGAGTCCTTGTGACCTTTACAGGGATTAGGAAAGAGGGAAATACTTTGATTTGCATGGATTCCGTAGTCATCATCAGCCCTCATGCTTAAGTTATTACATTGCACAAAATGTTTAAAATACTAGATCCAGAATAACTTTTTTGCCAGAGGGCAAGTAGAGCACATAATCTTATGTGCCACTAATATTTTAAAGCATTTATTTCATATGAAACTGAGATGCTATTTGTCTCTTTTTGTGTCAAATATTGCAGCTCAAGAATAATTTAGAGCAGATCAAACTGTGGTCCACGGGCCACATGCGGCCCTAATCACGTTCTTATGTGGCCCATGGTGTGTTTTCCCTCTGTTTAAATGAATGGGAGTCAATACACAATGAAGGCTTGCAACTTCATATGTACAACCATAATCATGCTGTACCATTAATTTCTCTGAAATCCAAACACTGATGTGTCAAAGCCACTGACCATCACCATCCTTTCACACATGACATTCAGGCCTACGTAATTTGCGTGTTTTAAATAACACTGAAGACCTGGAGAAAATCTTTGCAGATTCAGGGATAACATGCAAACTCCACAGCCCCATCTGGAGGTGGAATTGTACCCAGAACAAAATCAATGACTGCTATTTTTCTCACTTGCTCAAAATGCCTCCATATTGTGGAGTTGGGGAGTAACTTTCCCTGTTGTACCCAAATATAGCGAATACATTTTGTTTTTCCAAGTTCAATTGAGTTAAGCTGCAACTTTTAACTTGTCCGGCCCTCCACACTTTGGTGATATCCCTATGTGATCTCCTGGAGAATATAATTGTCCACTCCTGATTTAGAGTATACATACTACAAATGCCCTTCCTTTTTCAGACTGGTTCCTCACTGCCACAAAGCATAGACTGCATTGTAAGCCTTTTAGCAGCTCTAAAACAATGTTCAAAATGGGCACTGCATTTGATCCACGTTAGCAGATTACTTTTCATAATTTAAAGGATTTAACGAGTAGGCTATAGTGCAGGTTGCAAGTGGCTGAGTGCACTTGCGGTCACAACGAGCATGACTCGGCTTATGACATCACTCTGCAACACTTAAACAGTCTGAACTTCCTTTTGCGTAAGGTCACCAAACACATAAACGCAGACTTCTTTCCATGGCCACATAAAGCTTTATTGATAAAAATTTAAATGCAACCTTCACACTCACTTTGAAAATCGGTGCTTTTGCTTCAGGGTTTGAAAATATAGCAGACTGCTCTACACTGTCCTCCAGATAAAATCATATGGAAAATAACTTGTTTGAAAGAATCTCTGTAATGTTGTCCTTAGATATCACTGGCTGGGATTATGCAAAGCAGACTATTCAGGAATGGGTTGGGCAAGTTGAAAGCGTGTATAGGCAAGGCACATGTCTCTTGGTACACACGTCAACAAGGTCAGAGCTGGTCATTTAAGGTAACGTCCACATGACTGCTCCCATTCAAAGAGGCTCGGGAGTGCACCAAGCTCTCCGGTCACACACAATTCATCACACTGCAACACTTTCTAACTCGTGACCTCGCAAAAAGTCACTGCTGACCACTACTTGGGAAATCGGTAGACTTGAAACAATAGGTCTTTGGATTGAAAAATGTTTCTTTCTTTGCCCCACTTTCTCAGTTTGATAGTTGTAGTTTGTTTATTAGTCTTTTGTTTGTTTGTAAGTTGGTTTATTAGTTTGCCCTTTAGCTCAAAGTAATGGGAGGATTTGGACTAAATTCTCAGGAAACCTCCGTAATGTCACAACGAACAAGTGATTTTGGAATTGATTCGGCTCATGCATGTGGATGCAAGAATTTTTAAGAAATATCATGCTTATCTTTCACACTGTCTCGCTCTGACCCGAGGCCACACCCCCCCTGGATCCTCTGCATACACCAGCCTGAGAATGGGTGTTAACACATTATTTGTCTGTTTTTACCTGTTTAAACTGTGAAGCGCTTTGTGGCCTTGGTCTGTGAAAGGCGCTGTATAAATAAATAAAGCTTACTTTTTGAAATCGTTTGGAGGAAAGTTGCATCTGCAAAACAGCATTATCCCCTACACCAGAGAGTGACAATTTTAAGATTAAACATTACAAGTTTTCACTGCATAATTTGGCTACAAGTATTGCCATGCACTGCAATTGGAGGCCATAGCGTTTCATAAGGACAGATTCTGGATCATGGGAGCATCATGAAGTTACCTGGTC